ATCACTGATGTGTGGGTTTATTTCTGGACTCCCAATTCTATTCCATTGATCTATGTGTCTATTGTTATACCTGTACCAGGCTGTTTTGATTACTGTAGCTGTATAGTATGTTTTAAAATCAGGAAGTGTGAGTCCTCCTACTTTGTTCTCTTTCAACATTTTTAGCTATTCGGAGCCTCTTGCCCTTCCATATGAAGTTGAGGATTGGTTTTTCCATTTCTGTAAAGAAGACTGTTGGAATTTTGATCAGGATCGTGTTGAATTTATAGATTGCTTTGGGTAGTATTGACGTCTTAGCAATATTAAGTCTTCGAATCTATGAACATGGAACATCTTTCTATTTATTTAAGTCTTCTTTAATCTCTTTTAGCAGTGTTTTATAGTTTCCATTGTTTAAGTCCTTCACATCCCTGGTTAGATTTATTCCTAGGTATTTTATTCTCTTAGATGCTATTGTAAATGGAATTGTTTCCCTCATTTCCCTTTCAGATTTCTCATTGCTGGTGTATACAAACCCAACTGATTTTTATTTGTTGATCTTGTACCCTGTAATTTTGCTAAATTCCTCTATTAGCTCTAGATATTTTCTTGTGGACTCTCTAGTATGTGCTTGAAGCCATAAAACACACTGTTGAACGGTCTGACCAGCTGAGCACCAGACACAGAGTCAGGAGATCAGGATTCAATGTCCTGCTCTGCTGTCCACCAACAGTGCGATCTGGGAAGTCCCCCTTCTCAGTCTCATCCGTAGTCTCAGCTTTCTTTTCCATAGAGCAAGAGGAAAGTGGTGTCTCTAAACATCTTTTCCGCTGGGAGGTTTGTGAGAGCTGACAATTGGAAGCACTCCAAGGTCGGTCAGCAGGGAACCTTACCTAAAGCATGATCTACCTGTACAGTGGAACCCCGGCTAGGTCCTGACAGGTACAAACACCAAAATACACTGCTAAGCCAAACAACAAAATCAACCCCCCGCAAGAACAAACAAACCAAAAAATGTAAAAGCAAAGTGCTTATAGTATGCTCCCATTTGTGTAAAAAATAGGAACACAAGGAATACATGTGTGTCTTAGTTATCTAGTGCTGCTGTAACAGAACTATCACAAGTGGGTAGCGTTAGCAAACAGAAATTTATTCTCTCACAATTTAGGAGGCTAGAAGTTTGAATTCAGGGTGCCAGCTCTAGGGGAAGCCTTTCTCTCTCTGTTGGCTCTGGAGGAAGGTCCTTGTCTCTTTGAGCTTCTGCTCCTGGGCCATCTTCATGTGGCTTGGCATCTCTCTTCCCCCATCTCGGCTTGATTGCTTGTCCTAATTTGCTCTTTTTGTATCTTGTAAGAGATTGACTCACAACACACCCTACACTAATCCTGCCTCATTAACATAACAAAGACAACCCATTCCCACATGGCATTATAACCACAGGCATAGAGGTTAGGTTTTACAACACATATTTTTGGGGGACACAATTCAATCCATAACAATGCGTACTGATTGTTGGTAAACGCATAAATTATATCTGGAAGGATGTTCAAGAAACTGGTGACGCTGGCTGCCCACCCCCAACTGAGCAGGGTGACCTTTCACTGTATGTCCCCATCTTTTTAAAAATATAACATTTTCGTTGTTATTTTCAGCATTTTACATACTGAGTGGATAATCACAGTGAAAGGGGAGCTTTAGATCTGCCATCAGCGATACTTTCTGTCACACAGTTGATTTTCAGCATACGTTAAGCTCCCGCTAGATGCGAAAGGAAGTTTTCTGTGGCTAGTGGAAGCTGTCTCTGCTTTAATGCTTCAAAATGGAGTGCCAGCTTTTCTCCATTGTCTGAAATGTCTGTAAATGAAGCGAGGCTGGTCAAGAGCTCTCTTGATTTTAGGGAAATGTCCTTAATAACTTGGCTGTCTGATTTCTGGGGGTCTTCTGCAGACTGGACAATGAGCTGACTGATTTCCTTGTGCACTTTCCCAATTGTCATGGCCTCTTTTGCAAGCGGTGCAACAGGGATCTCACTATCAGCCAGATTCACAAAAACATCATAAAGGTCTGGTCTATTGCTCACCTCCAAGTCTACAAATCTAGCGATGTAACCTGTGCGCATCTGCGGGGCGTCCAGCTCATGGCCGCTGAGGTGCAATAAAGAGTGGTCCAAACCTGTCGAAGCCCCACCAGGGCAGGAAGCTTCCTGGTAAACTCCTGGACAGCTTCTATTCTTGGGTGACTAATGACAATTCTTTTCTTTAGCAGCAGTGCTATGTATAAGATAACAGTTTCCATTCCAAATTGAGATACAATGGAGCCTGCGAGGCATGCCTTTGGGGCATCAAAGTCCTTGCTAAGGGAAGCACCATTTTCTTCACTCAGGCATATTCCCTTTGTGAGAACTGCAATATAACTCTCCATCATTTTAACCGGCCTCCCACGTTTCAGGGACATTCTTTTTCAAAACTGAAGGATCTGGAACTTCAATTGTTATCATATAAAAACAAGTTCTCTGGTATTGGCCAAAGATGAAGGGGTGGAGAAGTTTGTTTTCATCTGTAAGGCGGCATTTTCTCACCAGCGGGTTCCCTGGTGCGGCTGTTGTGAAGTAATAACATCACACTCACAGAACTTCTCCATTTGTGTCCTTTTCTATGGTGGAAAGATGGTCGCTATCAGGTGACTCCAAGCATCAGCTGAGTGTCTGCCGCCTTGGCCACAGCCATCTTCCGCCGCTGCCCTGGATGCCCTTTTTCACCTTTTGAATTTTCAACCACATAAATGTATTTTTCTTAAAATTTTAAATTAAAATTTCAAAAAGATTCTGTGAAGCTCTTTCAGCAAGGCTGTGGGACAAGGCTAGAAAGCGTGCGGAGGATGTTCAGGTCACCCAGGTTTGGGTAGACAAATGGATCATAGACTCCGTCAGTCAAAACCGCCGAAGATTCACGGGCAGCAACAGATGTCAGGGTGGGGGAGGACGGGCCCTCGAGGTCTGGGAGCACTGGCAATCTAATTTGTCTTGGTTAATAAGGGTAGACTTGCGATCCCCAGGGAACAGCTGGCTCCTGATTCAACAAGGAGATCTATTAGCACAGGCTTTGAAAGGTCGCTTCCGTGACCTGGCCCAGAGTTACACGGCTGCCCATCAGCGCAGGAGACCTGGAGGACTCCGGGAGGAATCTCTGCTGCTCCAGCTCCAGGCCCAGCTGCCCTGAGCCCTCTTCCACTTTATCTGGAAAGCTCCTGGTCCCTGGCTTTTCTGGTAAGAGAAGGCATCCTAGATGGAGAGGGGCAGCCCTGGCTGCAAACCCACCCCACAAGTTGTGGGATCCTGCCAAGTCACTCATCCTTCCGAAGCCTCAGTTTTCCCATCCATAAAACGCAGGTCGACCTGTTCCCTGGGCAACACCGGAGGCAAGTGAGCTAATGCACATCAAGGGAGAGGGCTGGCTGGCACTCGCTGAGCTTATTACCTGTGCATAAACCCCAGCACAGGAAGTGCAATGGTAACTCCCCTTTCCTTTAGGATCCTGGTCGTACTCGTTCTGCTCAGATTAGAAGTGGCCTTATGCGATGTAATTGCAGTTGTTATGGGAAAACTCTGGTAAGTCAGCTTCCCCTGGCCCATTTAGATGAATACTATTTTTGACCGTAAGGGGCCCTCGTTATTCCGTGGCAGGGACAGGTGGCCACGGCCTCGACTTCTGTCCTATGCCCAGCAATGTAGTTTACCAATGACAGCAGGACAATTTCAGGAAGTCAGTGGTGATTTCCTTAACATGGAGTAAAATTCAAAGGCGCTATCATCTCTCTTCTTTGGCCAACTAAATAAATAATTGTTCCTGCTTAAACTGTCAGACAGCCAAACCCTGACAGATCCAGGGTTCTCTTTTACCAGCCCCTCCCCATTCCACATCGGTGAGGTTTTCTGCATCTAATGAGAGCCCATACTGAGGACCCTCACCATCACACCCACCTCTGGAGCCCAGGTTCAGGTTTGTGCTCACGTCTGTAGCGAACACTTTTAGGACATTTTTATGAGGTTTCATTCCCTATACGGTGTCGCACGGTTTGGGTCCTGAGGAGAACACCAGAGGCTTACAAGTTAATGCTATTATTTAAATGGTCCCATTGTCACGTGAGGAGAGGTCAGGAAAAGTAAGGGTGCACCCTACAGTGGTTGCTGCCCAGTGCACATGATGCCATGACACCCCCCCTTAGGATCTCCCTGAGAGCCCCAAGAACCGGCTAGGGGGCAGCCGTATCAGTCGGACCCTCCAGCCCAGCGTTTGATAAAAGACAGGCACCTCCTGGGGACACAGAAGTTGGGATTCTCCATCCCACTGGTCTGTCTCAACATACCACTCACCCACATGGTCATTGTTGAGGGCCTTGCTGAGGCCACGGGTTTCAGCTCCTTTCCCAGGAAGAGAAGGCACTGGGTCTATTTCTAGTTGTTTGCTGGCTCACTTGCCTTGTTTTAAAGCAGCTGAAAGTCCCAGCACTGAAAGCTTGTTTCACTCACGTGTGTGGTTGTGCAACATTATAACCAGAGAAACAACATGATGTATGTGTTAGAATTAGAGGTGAAAGTGCTCAGAGAGGGCACTACACGAAAAGAGACTCTCTGCTGCAATTACAGATTGCCTCGAATGCCACTCACTATTCACTTTGTGCTGAAGTTGGCAGATACTTGATGAAAAACAGCTCCAGCTTTACATCTGACTTACTAACAAAAGGGTACTTTGCTGGATTCATAACATGTGTAACCTTTTTCCCTTTTAAAATTCACCAGTCAAACATGTACAAACAGGAAATAATTTTTCTTCTGTCTTTGGGAGGAAAAAAACCACATCTGACTTCAAAAGTGATTGAACTCTGGTGGCAACAATGTTTGATACAATAGAGCTTGTAGTCGAAGAATGGACTTTGGCCCTTCTACCCAAACTCTAGCCATAAACTCAGGCTCCGAGGCCCAGGAGCCTGCCGGAGTTCCACGGAACCAGAAACCCTCTTACCTTGAAAGTTGTTGCCGACTCTGGACTGGCAAGAACCAAAGGCGAGATGAGAACCATGCCTGCGAAGTGGCCTGGCCTGTCTGCGGCTGTGAGGATGACAATGGCGCCTCCCTGCAAGGCAAAGTGGCAGAGCTGTTGGGAGCCACACCTCGTATGCATCTCTAATGGCACGATTAACGAAAGAGCCCCGAGGCTGCAGGCCTGGCCAGCAGCCCTGAAGATCCTACCTTGGAATGGAAACCATCAAATGTTGGATAAACTAGATCAGCAATTATTTCAATTACAAACGTTTTTTTTCTCTAGGTTTTCCAACAGCAAACGTTTCAGAGAGATATAAATAAGGTTCCTGCTTGTGGGCTGCAAGTTAAACAACAACACACTCCTCCTTCATTTCAAGCCAAAAGCTGGCAGACCCCCAAGTCATCCACTTCCATCAGGCCTCATGCAATGCTTTCTGGTAATCTGATCATAAGAAGAGATGGCTACATTTTTTTCCTGGTTCAGTAAAGATCCCAGAAATTTAGGTTCCAAGAAAAATACTTGTTGAATTTAGATGGTGCTGAAGGAGCAAGGCCTATCTCTTTGATAAAGCTGGAAGGGCGTTTAGGGCTGAAGTCTCAAGTACTTACAGGGTCAGGCAAGTCATCTACAAACCAAGTCAAATGAGGAAAAAAAAACACCGGTTTTCACAGAGTCCATTCCAACTGATGGTGACCCCATGTATGTCAGAGTAGAACTGTGCTCCAGGGCTGTCCGTGGCTGACTTTTCGGAAGTAGATTGCCAGGCCTTTCTTCCAAGGCACCTCTGGATGGACTCAAACCTCCAACTTTTCAGTTAGCAGCTGAGAAAGTTTGCACCACCCAGAGACTCCATGAATGGAGCCAGGCTGTGATAAAAGGGGGCAGGAGGCCTGTATCCGGTGAGCAATCCCCAGGCATTCAAATTCAAGTGGTTAAAAATACTCAGCGACTCTGTAGGGAGTCAGCCTGGGGCTGCCACTTGAGGACCCAGACTTAGAGATTACACTCGGTTGATTCTTAGAGGATTTTATAAACCCAAGAGGTGAAAAGGATTTCGAGTAACACTTAAGGAATTGTCTCCACAGAGGCCCCTTTGTCCCCAGTTCCTGTACAATCCCCTGAACAAGAAGGAAGGGCTCTGGCTCTGTGGGCTCTCACTAACCAGAAGCATCCCTCTCTCTGAGAAGTGGCTCTGTAGGAAGCAGAAGTGCCCTTAGTAGATTCATGATGGATAAAGTAGCCCCGAGGGCCAAAGGGGTTGAAAAGGATCAGTTTCCCAGTCGGCGGCAAGCACCTCGGTGAGGCTGCGAGGCTTGGCTGGCGCATGGCCGGGAACCCTGAGGCATGAATAGGCCCAGCTCTGGCTCCCTCCAGGCCTGTCTCCAGGGCCTGAACCTGGCTGGTTTCCTAAGCACTAAATTGCCTGGGAACTCCAGTGCAGGGTGACAAAGGGCAATGGCCCCCCACCCACAGTGCTCACACCCCCACCCTGCAGGGCTGGGCAGGCGCAAGTGGAGCCGGTTCCTCTGTGGTCTGCTTACCATGGAGTGACCCAGAAGGAAGACAGGAAGCCTGGGGTAGTCTTTCTGCATAACATCCACGTGCTGTAGCACATCCCTGACAAAAACGTGGAAGTCAGACACCACCATCCTCTCCCCTTCGCTCTGTCCGTGGCCAACTAGAGGGGAATGGAAGAAAAGCAAGAAGGGCAGCGTTACTGGGTGCTGGCCCTGCCCAAGCCCAGTGGCCTCTCACCAGAATGACCAGCTGCTCTTTACTGAGGCCCTCCGATCAGCCAGGCACTTGGAATGTGTCATCTCACTTAGCCCTCGCCAACAGCACCTGAAAGTCAGACTTCCCCCTTTTTTACAGATCAGGACATGGGGGCACAGAGTGGTTAAGGAAGCTGCCCAAGATCACACAGCTAGAAGGCTGACCAGGAGGTATCCATTGCAAAGGCCCTGCACACAGCCATGTGTTCCCTAGGAAGAAGGAGATGGCAGGCACCGAGAGCAAAGAGGCTAGGAGTCAGGGCGGTGAGGCTCAGGATTTTCCTGGTCTTCCCAGCTCCCTGATCCTCACGGTTGTGTTTCAGTATTGGCCTTTCACCGGGAACAGTGCTGCCTTCTGTCACCTCCCTTCACAGCTCTAGGTGAAGAGACTATGACAAACACAAAAATAGTCAATTGTGAGGGCCAGAAACGTTCCCAATAGCCATAAAACTAGGTCACATTATGTCCTCCCTCCTGGATTCTTCTGTGTCAAATATCTGTGCTGTTCGTTCCCCCTTTGTTATTTCCTTTGTGTCCCTCTACTTCCCCCTTTGAAGTGTATCGGTCTCTATAGAAACCAGGAGCTGGCGCTGCTTCCGTGTGCTGGCTGAGAGCAGCTGATGGGAGGGTTTGGAGCTGCAAAAAGAAAGAGCTCACAGAGAGCTGGGGCCACACAGCAAGAGCATCTCTGTCCCAAACCTCTCCTGCTGAGATCCTGAAGGGCTTATTCATTAAACCTCACACCACCTCTTTACAGGAAACTGTTAAGATAATAATGTTCATTTTACAGATGAGAAGGGTGAGGGCTTGTCATCATCTGGACTCGGCTGGCTGCCCAGACCACAAACTCTGAAACACTCTTCATGGCCGTAAGCTCCTGTGCTTCTTACTGCCCTGTCCCCGTGACTCCTGCCTGGACCGCAAGCTCCCACACTTCTCAATCTCCCAGCTGACCAGCCTGCCTGTCTTTCTGACCACCCCACCCAGCCAGCCTTGGCCCAGCAGTTCCACCACCTTCTCAGCGGCACCCTGAATTCCCTTGCCCCTCTGATTTTTTACCTTAATCATCTTCCACCCTGGACTAACCCCCGCTCTGATTCCTTGGTGGCATCACCCTGAGGGCTCGGTGAACATGAACATTTAACAGGAAACACTGGGGCCTCTTCACATATAATTGGTTGCCAAATTCATCTCAGCATCTCTTCCCCATGTCTCCATTCTCCCAAAGCCTGCATATAACTCATGACTTCAAGTAGATAATACTATCTTTCTTTTTTGAAAATATGGAGATCCCCCAACATAACCCTTCTCAACCTTCCCCCTCACCGCTGAAGTGTCCTTTAATAAGGCCGTTTGTTCCTCCCTCTAATCACTCCTGGCCCAGCTCTTGCCTTCCACTCTCCCCCTGTCTACTGGCTCCAACTTTGGCTCATTGATATGCCCCATTCCCATCCCTAAAAAAGCCCTCCCTCCATCCTCCACCCTTCCAACCATCTTTTTTCTCCCTTTCCCCTTACTGTTTAAAGAGAGATCTACATTCACAGCCCTCAGCTACCTTTCCCCAAGCCCCCTTTCTCCGGTGAGGTCCTACCCCACTCCTTGGCTGAGTCACCATTGGCCCCTGTTGACCAAAAGCCATGGCCTTTTCCCCATCTTCATCCTTTTCCCAGCTCTCTGCTCATTCACACCACACGTCGCACTGTCTTACGTTGTGACAGGACTCACACGGAAGTGGACTTCTCGGTTCTCTATGTTTCTGACTGCTTTTCCTTAGTCCTCTGTCCTTGTCCTCCCCATTCACTCATCTTCCTCTAAATTCTTCTCATAGTGTCTCCTGTCTCCTTCCAGTAGCTCTTGATAAGCAAACACAATTACATTTCCTTATTTATACCTCCCTTTATAGGGTCGCTATAAGTCAGAATCAACTAGAAGGAAATGGGTTTGGCTTTTTTGGTTCGTTTGTTTTTGTTTTTTAGACACAAACTGATATACAACATATTCTGATCTGCACCTTGGTTTGTTCACTGACAATATACCCGCGAGATCTTTCAACATCTGAAGTCGAGTTCCTCCTCAGTTTTTTTCCTGTAACTTTTTACTTTGAAAAATTTCAGACACATAAAAATATTGAAAGAATATTATAATAAGCACCTACTATTTGTTTTCAACTGTTGTTAACATTTTATTTACTTTAAATATCACGATGCTTTACCCCAAACACTTCAGTGTGTATCTCCTAAAATAAGGCATTCCCCTCATGACTACAATACTATTTTCAGACCTAAGAAAATTAATAATTGTTCCCTAATATCATCTAATACTCAGTCCAAATTCAAATCTCCCAATTGTCTTTAAGTATTTTAAAGCTGCTTTTTTTTTTTTTAAAAAAAAAAAACGAAACAGGATACAAAGCTCATGCATTGCATTTGGTTGTTATGTTTCTTTAGTCTCTTTTAATCTAGAATATTCCCCTCACTTTTATTTTAAAGAGACCAGGTCAGTAAAATGTCCTACATTCTGGATCTGTCTGATTTTTTTTCCCTCATGGTGTCATTTAGCTTGCTCCTGTGTTCCCACTGATTGTCAGGAACTTCTTTACTTTCTAGCACAAGTGTCTCAGGCTCCCCTTATACTTTCCCTGGCCCAGACCTGGAATTAAGCATTTCTCCAAGGAGCCCCACTTTTTTTTTTTTTTTTAGTGTGAAACGGTGCTTAGAAATCAAGATTTAAACATTGGGGTGCTCTATGCCACTGGGGTGCCATTGCTTCTATGCCCAGTCAGTGGGAAGAACTAGGCAAATGATTTTTTAAAAATTATGAGTCCATATTGACATTTCCAATTAAAAATCAATGGTTCTTAATAGCATTAGAAGATACTGAAGTTGTCAAGGATTTCATTTTACTTGGATCCACAATCAACGCCCATGGAAGCAGCAGTCAAGAAAGCAAATGATGTATTGCATTGGGCAAATCTGCTGCAAAAGACCTCTTAAAAGTGTTGAAAGCAAAGATGTCACTTTGAGGACTAAGATGCGCCTGACCCAAGCAATGATATTTTCAATCACCTCATATGCATGTGAAAGCTAGACAATGAATAAATAAAGAAGACCGAAAGAGAACTGATGCCTTTGAATTATGGTGTTGGTGAAGAACATTGAATATATACCATAGACTGCCAGAAAAACCAACAAGTCTGTCTTGGAAGAAATACAACCAGAGGGCTCCTTGGAAGCAAGGATGGTGAGACTTTGTCTCACATACTTTGGACATGTTATCAGGAGGGACCAGTCCCTGGAGAAGGATATCACGCTTACTAAGGTCAGTGAAAAAGAGGAAGACCCTCCAAGATGGATTGACCCAGTGGCTGCAATGATGGGCTCAAACACAGCAATGATTATGAGGATGGCGCAAGACAGGATAGTGTTTCACTCTGTTGTACACAGAGTCACTATGAGCTGGAATCGACTCAACAGCACCTAACAACAACAATAATAGCATTAATGTATTTACTTATGTGTGGTATTCTATAATACACAGCAGTTTCAAAATTATAATACCAATATTATCTCTGTCCCAGACCAGCAGTAAAGCCCTTCTAGGCCCATCTCAATTTCTACCACCTCTATGAAGTTGCTGCAATCCCCTCAGGCAGGTGCAAAGCATTTCTTGCCTACCACAGGTGAGTTGGATTAGAATCCTCTTTTTCTCTCCTCCAGCACCACTCCTCCCTGCTAGACTGAGGGTTCCTGGAGCCAGGGTGAACAACTCTGGGTAGAAAAGAGTGCTGTGAGTGATTAGTGATGTCTGCCATGGACTCAGAGGGAGGGGAGAGGTTCCAAATGCCTGAGTGCAGTATTTGCCAGGCTTGTCCTGAGAGCAAGGATGATATTTTATTCATCTGTTTATTCCTCAGGGCTCCTTGCACAGCCCTGGCAGGGAGTAGGTGCTTGCTGAAATCAATCGAAGGCAGTATTTCTCTAAGCGCGGCTCATCAAAGAGATTCAACTCCATTGTTGCAGCTATAGCCGACATGACACATTTCCCTTCCACTATGCAAGCAGTAGGTCTGCATGTGCAATTACAATGCTGCTTTTCCATCTATTATTTTTAGAAAGAACTGTGCTCCACAGACCCTAATCCAATGTATTTTTAGTTTTGTTTACCCCGATTCCTCTAGCGCCATATTTGACATAAAATAAGCCCTTAATAATTATTTGTGGAATGATAAAATAGTCCCAGTCTCTTTGTCTCATACAAAACAGTTCTACCTGAAAACAACTTACAGCGTGCATAAAGAGACCACTAGGAAGTGTCCAGAAAGCTGAGGCTCCTGTTCATGCTCAGATGGGAAGAAATGAACTTTTCCACTTCCCTTGTCTTAGGGAACCAGTTCTACTTAGTATTCATTTTCTTACAGAAGAAGAAGCTGGAAAAACACAGCCTTGAGAACGGAAAGAGATTAAGCATTAAAAAGCAATAACACCACTACCTGGTATTTGTGTGGGAGTTTACAGTTTACAGAGCACTTTTCCCAGAGTTTATTTTACTTGATCCCCACAACTTTGTGACTGAAGGATTATTCCCCCATTTTCTTTTTTATTGTTGTGCTTTAAGTGAAAGTTTACAACTCAGGTTAGTCTCTCATACAAAAATGTATACATACATTGTTTTGTGACCCTAGTTGCTCTCCCTATACTGTGACAGCACACTCTTCCTTTCCACTCCAGATTTCCCCGTGTCCATTCCACCAGCTCCTGACCTCTCTGCCTTCTCATCTCGCCTCTGGACAGGAACTGCCCATTTAGTCTCATGTATCTACTTGAGCTAAGAAGCACTCTCTTCACGAGTATCATTTTAAGTAACATAGTCCAGTCTAATCTTTGTCTGAAGAATTAGCCTCAGGAAT